ATTTGTTTAAGTCTTCGGCTTTGTTTTGTACAGTGAATGGATAATTTAGCTAGTGGAAGAAGTGTACATCATCATCCAGTAGCCAACAGAGCATAACAATTCTTCACTATTTTTAGTTTTACAGGCTGACATTTGTCTTGCCTCAGGTCCTTTGGTATACATTCTCAAAGAACCATAGTCATCTAAAAGATTTGTTTGCACTTGGAAGTTTTTTGAAAGTTATATTGAACAGTACAGTAATGCAAAGAGTAAGTTTGATTTAGAAGACCACAATAAAGCATGATAGTTTACTTACCAAAATTGAGGTAGTTAGCACTGTATTTTACAAAAACACTTACCCCACGATGGTAAGAAATCAGAGCTGCAGATTCTCTGGTTTCATTGTCAGAATGACATCCAAGAGGCATGAAAGAACCATCTGAGTTTCAATCTTCACTCACTCCCTTTGGTGCCTTTGATATGACTGACACAGAAACTAGAACCTCTGCAACTTATTAAATGTATTTGTGGTATAGCAATGAGTAGAGCTGCTTTCCCAACAGTTGACTTCAGTTACCCCACCAACAGAGAAATGTGGCTTTTGCCTGAAGGTATACTGGACTGAATGCACCCAATCTCGTCTGATCTCAGAAGCTGATACTTGGATGGAAGACCAAATGGGCAGGACCAAGCATACATAGATCATTCTTGACTGGTGTCTGTCCAACCTGATCTTAAAAATCCTCAATGACAAAAATACCATAGCCTCCTTTGGAAGCCTATTCCAGTACTTCGAAAGTTTTCCCTTAATATCTAACATAAATCTCCTTGCTGCAGATTAAGCTGATTACTTCTTGTCCTACCTTCAGTAGATATGGAGAACAACTGATCACCATTATCTTTATTACAGCCCTTAACATATTTGAGGGCCTTTATCAGTTTTCTTTTCTCAAGACCAAACACACCCATTTTTTTCAACCTTTCCTCATACATCAGGTTTTCTAAATCTTAACTTTTTGTTGCGCTCCTCTTGACTCTCTCCCGTTTGTCCACATCTTTCTTAAAGTATGACACCAAAAACTGAACACAGTACTCAAGCTGAGGCCACACCAGTGTCAAATAGAGCAGAACAGTTATCTCCCATGTCTTATATACAACACTCTTTTTAATACACTCTGGAATTATATTAGCTTTTTTGCAACTGCATCATACTGTTGACTCACACTCAATTTGAGAGACACTATAACCTGCAGATGCATTTCCAGCAGTACTACCAAATAGACAGTTATCCTCCATTTTGTAGTTGTGCATTTGATTTCTCTCCTTCCTAACTGCAATACTTTTCACTTGTCTTTAATAAATTCATCTTGCTGATTTCAGACCAATTCTCCAATTAGTCAGGGTTGTTCTGAATTCTAATCCTGTCCTCCAAAGTGCTAGCAACTCCTCTCAGCTTGCTGTTATCTTCAAATTTTATAAGCATAATCTCTCTTCCATTATCCAAATCATTAATATATTGACAATTGCTGGACAAAGGACAGACCCCTGAGAGACTCTACTAGATACATCCCCCCCCAGTCTGACAGTAAGCCATTAATAAGTATTCTGAGTACAGTTTTTCAACCAGTCTGCACCCACCTTATAGTAATTTCATTTGGACCACATTTCCCTAGCTTGCTTATGAGAATGTCACGTGGGGCTGTGTCAAAAGACTTACTAACAATCAAGATACATCATATCTACAGCTTTCCCCCATCCACTAGACCAGTAACCCTGTCAAAGAATGATGTTAGACTGGTTTGGCATGACCATGGGTAAAAGCCAGTGATTTTCTAAAGTAAAGTACGAGAAGCAGAGTTCATTTCCTTAGCAACTCAGAACAAGAACTTGTTTGAGATTAGCTGTCTTCAGCAAATACAGATACTCTGAGGTATTTGGGGTTCTCAATTTGAATTTTTAGTGTCCAAATCACTTAAGACAATGCTATGAAGCTGTCCAGATCTTTTACATACCATATTATTTCTGATTAGTTCTAAATAGCTCTCAAGAACTATGTAGTTCATGAACAGACAAACCCACATGTGCACACAATTTGAGAACTCAAGCATTTTAGCATGAAACTCAAACATGGTCATGGGGATGGAATAAAGGAGGAGCATATATTATGCTCTGGGTATTTATGGTGGGAAGTATCTATGCATTAGTGAAACTATAGTATAACTGGCTCTACCAGAATAAGCACAATGTTTTTCATCTCCAATTATTTACATACACCTTCCCCCCCCAACTCCTTTTTGGGTGACGACCCCTACAATTACAACACCGCGAAATTTCAGATTTAAATATCTGAAATCATTAAATTTATTATTTTTAAAATACTATGACAGTGAAATTGACCAAAATAGACTGCGAATTTGGTAGGGCCCTAATTATAAATACCGACCTTACAAAAAGCATCAAGTTCAGACTGTAGTGTTTGCTGTACTCTCACACCTCAGAAAGTTTGATAGATCAATATTGATACAGAAGTTTTCACTTATTGGCCGATGTATTTTCAAGTCAGCCAACAACAAGAAAGAACTAGTGAATAGTAAAGATTGACAAC